AACAGGACCTGATGCCAGGGGCTTACGTGGAGAGCAAATGTTTTGAGAATGATAAGGGCAATGAATGTACAAATGTGCTTTACACAATTGATTTATGTATGGATTGTGATAAGAGTTGTATGAGCCCCTAATAAAATGATTTTTTTTTATTTAGAATATGCCATGTAGAAGCATTTTTGTTTTCTACATGCAAACTTCACCTTATCTGAGAACTCTTTATTCCTTTTTAGAAACACAAATATCACCTTTCCACGAGAAACTATGTGACTTGTCAAAATAGTTAGTTGCCTTTGTGTTGACTTGCCTCATGGTGCTCCCATGAGCACAAAGCAAAACTGTGCTCCAAGGAGTTTCCTGTGACTCTGATCTCTTGGAAGTAGATTGGCAGGTTTTTTTTTCTCCTGTGGTGCCTCTGGTTGTGTTCAGAATATAGTTCAGTGCTTACCTCTTTGTGCCACCCAGGGACTCCTGGAAGCTGGAAAATCGCTGAGAGACGCAGATTGTGACATTTTCCCACTTCATACCTGTTTGATTAGATATCTCTTTCTCTGGGCATAAAATACAATCAAAGCAGCAAGTAGCCTTCCCTTCCTGAGAGATTTTCATGAATCCCGGGCCACAGCTCTTGCTACACACAGAGTGGGGAGTCTGTAAGAAGGGAATCAGTGATAATAGATCAGTAGTGCTGTGTTAATGAATCAGCATGTTTTAGAATGTAATCCTATTGAAAAGCTGGTTTTGTTATTGTTGAGTGATTCTGACTCCCGAGGGCTTTAGTGATCCTCACTCATAATAACCCTGTAAGACACAGTAGGACAGTCCCATAGGTATTTCAAGACTGTAATCTTTAAGGAAGCAGATTCATAGACTTTCCTCTGTTGGAGCCATTGTAGGTCCCAACCACCAACCTCTCAGCAGCCAAGAACTACTGCGTGACTAGGGTTTAAATATATATAAACACACACATGTTTGTGTATTCTTATAGAACAGTTCTATAGGGATTCCAAACTGTAATCTCCAAGGATGCAGATTCTGTCTATCTATCTATCTATCTATCTATCTATCTATCTATCTATCTATCTATCTATCTATTTATCATCTATCTATCTATCTATCTATATCTGTATACTCCCCAAGTTGATTCTGACCAATGGCAATCCAAGCCACTAAAACCTAACATACTCTATGAGACCAAAGGAGAAAGCTTGGTCACTTGCTTGTGTAAACATTGCAGGCAATAAAACCCTATGGAGAAATTCTACTTTATAATGTCTGAATTGACTTAATTAAAAGGATTCTTTAATATCCATTGGACAGTAGACAGGGAAATTAGAATGTATTAATGAGCACAGGTTTTGTAATCACTTAAGTAGTTACATACTTATTTTCATATCTTGTCTATGCTTTGGGATAGAGATGAAGAATTCATCCAACCTCAGTGAATCCTAAAGCCCATTCTATCAGCTCCTCCTGGATCATCAAACCTTGACCACGTAGACCCTGGGGTGTGAACTCTCCCACTTTCATGTGAAGGCCCAGACCACCAGGAAAATTCAAGTAGTTCAGAATGTTGTATTGTGACACACAGTTTCTGTTCTCATCCAGTGAGACATGGTCTCCAGCACTGTTTTCCAGTTGTACTTTTCTAAGGAATGGGTGGAGCTGAAGGAGAGACATTGAAAAATGAGATGAACATGGATGTAGTCAAGTGGGGACAGGAAGAGATGTGTAGTTGCCAAGAAGTTATACAGACTTTTATTCTCTTCATCTTCCTCCCCCCTGTCTTAACAGGTACCATTTCAAGAAGCTTACTGCTCTGCATGTTCAGGGAAAGAGATACTGTATACTTCTCCAGATAAAGCCAAACTCAAACTCATAGCTATCAAGCAGTTCTCACCACAACCTTCTGTTACAAAATCGAGCAGCTCCATAGAGTTTTCTTAACTATAATTATCAGATTTTATTTCATGGGGAAGCTAGGTAAATTTTAACCACTAGCATTTAAGTGAATGGTGTTGGACAAATCAAATAATGAGTACTACCTGTGCCCCAGAGATAATTCCTTTAAACCTTTCTTGAAAAATCCCATTTATGGGAACTGTATTAGGGATGGTAAAAAACTTGAACCTCAACTATTGATTTTATTTAGGGCTTCTGAATACTTTCATCAAATGCAAGAAGATACAATGAAATGTGCCTTGTCAAAAATTAGTGGATGATAGATACATGACTTTGTTTCTGGACTTTCAATGACATTCCATTAATCTATGTATTCATACCACCCCACCAAAAATAGAAAATAAATGAAAACACTGACATGAAGTCGAATCACAGTAAGTCTCAGAAAACTCGGTGCCATCGAGTTGCATCTGGCTCATAATTGCCCTATAGCATAAAATAGAATTAGCCATATGGATTTTCAAGACTGCAACTGTTTACAGAAGTAGAAAATCTCATCTTTTTGCCTCAGAGAAGCTGGTGGCTCTCAACTTACCTTGTAGTTAGCAGTCCAATGCATATCCCACTGTGCCTTAGGGTTTCTATTCAGATTCATAGCAAACCTCTGTAGTGTTCCCAAGGTTTTAAGCCTGATAAGAGCACATAGCCTTGTATTTCTTCTGTGGAGTTGTGGCGGGTTTGAACCACCAATGTTTTAATTGCTGTAGCTTTTTAGTATATTTTGAAACTAATAAGTCTGAGTTGGACCTTAGTCTTCAAGACTACTTTAGAGATGCAAGAAATAATCATAACTTTATCATTGTATATAATAACTCTCGGATGCTAACAGGCCATAAAAGTAAATCAAATGCAAAGGGAGATTTTACCTGCCAGGGGAGATGCATAGGCTGTCCAGCTTCTGTCAGGTACCCTGTTTCTTCTTCCTTAAAAATCATTTCATGGAGGGCTTGGGCTATGAGGTGCACAGCATTATAGAGGTAGTTTCTGGCTCTTAGCATAGTCATGTCTATTTTTTCCACAGGCATTGATTCCAAAGAGGCATTGGTTGGGCACTCATGAATTTCCCCACATACAGTTCCTGCTAGTGAGCAATTGAAGACTCTGAGCCAGTATTTGGTAAAGAAAAAGTCTTCTGGGTACTTGGAAGGATTCACTGTTCTGAAAAAGTGTTTGAAACCAGGTATCTCAGAGGTCTGGTGTGCAAAGGAAAGAGTCCCATGGAAAGTATCTAATAAATCTGAAGCTAGTAACAAAGAATCATCCCACCGGGGTGTAATAATCCATACTTTGTCAGTTATTAGTTTATAGGCTCCAAAATAGCTCATAATTTGTAATGTACTGCTGTCACCATAAATGATGAATACATTTGCAGATGAGTGCATGACTTTGTTCAGGAAGGTCAAATCTCTTGGTTTGTATATTCTCTTGGTCACAGTAATCTTTTCCATAAGTGACACACAGACACCTTTGATGGTCATCTTTCTTCTAAGGTCCCAAAGGAACTGCTCACCTTTTGTGTCATCTGACACTAAGATGCTGACCCAGGTCCATCCAAAATGGATCAATAAAGAGACTATGCCTGCGGCCAAACAAGTGTCCTTGGGAGCCATCTGATAGAGAGAGGAAAACTGGTCCTTATTTTTCAATGAAGGATCAAAAGTGCCATAGGATATCTGAATCAAAAGAGAGAGATGTTCCATATGGGTTCTCAGAAGCAAAGTTAAGAAGAGAATTGCAGCAAAGCATGATGCTAACTAATGGTGACTATGTGCAGGGAAGAGCTGTCATCCCTTAAGTTTTCATGACCGTGGCCCTTTGGAAGCAGATTGCCAGAGACTCCATATTATCAAGTGTTGTTGTGAGCAGTGGAGATGACCCTGACTCACAGTGACTTACTAGGAAAGAACAGGTCTGGCCTACAGGTGTTCTGGGCTGGCTATTTATGGCAGCAGATCACCGGACCTTTCAGTTAACAGCTGACCACTTAACAATTGCACTCGCAGGGTTCTTTGGCCAACCTTATATTACAAAGCAACGTTGTAGGTGTGAAGCAATACTCAGAGCCAGATTTATTGGGTTCAAATTCTGGCTCTGCTGTGTGTATTATCTTGGGAAGCGGAATGACCCTGGGAAAGTTAAATGACCTCTCTGCATCGTAGTTTGCACATTTCTAAAATCTGCCCTTATAATGGTATCTTGTCATTAGGACTACGTGTGCTACCATTTTTAATGAATTTTAAATTTTACTTTATTTTATTGGGGACTCTTACAGTTCTTATCACAATCCATACAAATATCCATTGTGTCAAACACATCTGTTCATCTTTTTCAAAACATTTTCTTTCTACTTGAGCCTCTGGCATCATCTCCTCGGGTTTTCTCCTCCCTCCCCCATGTCCGCTTGATACTTTATAAATTCTCCTTTTTTTTTAATGTCTTACACTGACCAATGTCTCGTTTCACCCACTTTTCTGCTGTCTGTCCCACAAATAATTTTAAGGTCTGTTATGGATAAAATTATGTTCCCTTAAAATATGTGTTGTAGTCTTGACCCCTAGTCTGTGGACTGAATCCATTTCAGGAATCAGATTGTCTTTGTTATGTTAATGAGCCTATCTTTGCAGGCTTTGTCCTGAACCTGATCAATTCTGAATGCTGCAAATACTAGCATAGACACAGACCAGTAAACACACATGTGAAGATGGTTAAGGAATCAAGGAATAGAAGCCGAAAGGAGACAAGAATCCTCCCACGCCCACCCCAGAGTTGACAAAGGCTGCCTTTCCCTAGAGTCAGTACCTTGAACTCAGACTTCAAGCCTTTATTGTAAGAAAAAAACTATTCTTCAAAGTCATCTCTATGTAGTATGTATTACAACAGCACTAGAGAATGAAGACAATGCTTTTGATCATCACATTTAGATATAATTACTTTAAATAGAAGATAAAGTAAATATGAGGGCATTTCAAAAGCTTCATGTGAAAAGAACCCTTAATTAAAAGATCATGGAATTCTTCCACGAGCTTTCTCACACCAGTTTAGCTTGTTTCTATCCTTCAGGAGGATTTGAGTGAGGATTTCTAGAAGTTGCTTTGACATAGGTCCAGAAGCAACAGCAATTCCCGGTTGGTTTGTCCCTGCCCCAGTTTTCCACCCCAAGTAATGAATCCAACACATTCTGGAGAAATCTGAAGTAGCTGGGCCCCTCTTTTCTTCCACAAAAGTGACAGAAGAACTGGGCTGAGGAAGAACAGCCCCGCTCACCTGGTGCCCTTACCTGTGGCATCCTGTAGAGCTCTAGCAGTGCTCCAGCCTGCACCAAAAACTCTGAGGTGATTCCTGCAGTGACAGCCATGTTCTTCGTATATCTCTGGCAGGTGTAATTAGGGATGGAGGGCTCCCTTCCTGAGAGCCACCCCAATGCACTCTCCAGAGTTCTGACATCACTGGGATAGGCATTATAATGCTGAAAACCCAGGGACATGTTCGGGAGCACATGGGGACTCCTGTTAATCTCATCAATGGCAAAAAGAAAAATCAGAACATAACCATAGTTTTTGAAGATCAACCTGTGTAAGGTCAAGAAAGAAATAACTTTTAGAAACAAAAGTGACATTGTACATTTCAACTTCAATCCAGGCTTCCATGTATTGTGGTCCACAGATGCTGTGCTTTTTTCTAAAGTAAAGGTTTGTAGCAACCCTCCATTGAGCAGGTTCATTAGTAAGATTTTTTTCAATATCATGTATTCACTTTGTGTCTCTGCGCCACATTTTGGTAATTCTTACAATATTCCAACCTTATCTTAGTGGTAGTGCACAATGCAGTAGACTTTATAACCTTTATATACACTGGGAAGCAGAATAATCAGTGTGATTTGCTTTACTGAAGTGTTTGTTCTGTAACAAAACATGCAATGAGATGGCTATCCCAAACCAAGAGGCTATAATGAGGCATTTTGACTCAGACAACTCATTCAGTGCAGATTCAATTATTGCTTTCCTTAATCGTTTTGGGATTAGTAGTTTAAGCATCAGCAGGCCTAGACCTGAAATTCAGACTGGGAAGAGGGTAGAAGATTTCTTAATGTGAGTTAATGTTAAGAACATGTGAGTTCACTAGGAAAATCGATTGTTAATAGGTCCTTAAAAGGAATTATCTCATTAAGATATGTGGTTACCTGTTGAACACTGGTTCATAGAGTGGTCCCCAACCTAAAGTGGATTAGGACCATGGAAAGTTAAGGATTAGCTGAAGCAAATGTTTGTGAAGCTAGGCAGGGCAGGAAATCAAACAGGGAAAGCTTGGAGGAAAAACAGTATAAGTATAGAGTGGTATTAGAACTCCTTTTGGTGAAAATATATGCCATCATACAACATTTCAACAAATTCTACATGGACAGCTCTGTGACATCACTTCCACTTTTCCACTTGTGCAAACATTCCCTCCTTCTTTCTTCAGATTGTTCCAACACCATTGAATTAACACCACTGCTGCCTAAATATGTATTAACTAAGCTTTCAAGTCAGCATTGTCAATCTGATTTCATATAGGTAGTTCTTTGAAAGCACCTTTAAAAGTGCCATCAGATATCTGGATATAGGATCTCATTGCACAATGCTCAAAGCAAACATACTTTCCATATCAAGGTAAGCCTTTGTTTTCTTTTCTTCTTTAACCAAGACTGAGAGGACACCTTTAGTTTAAGGTTTAAAGTCAAAAACGATGGCAGGGCAGTCATTTGAGGGGTTTATCTACCCTCCATGGCTCCAGAATGTATTCTTAATATGCAATTTAAAATATACATTTCTGAAACAGTCTGTTTGGCCATCTTGAGACCGAAGCAGGGAAATTACATAAGAAGACATAGTCATACAATCGTAGTCGATGCTGGTGACCCAATAAGCAAGATAACAGTTGACATTTTTTTCAGCTCTGCTTCTACACTTAGGTGGCATTGTCTCCCTCCTAAACGCACACCACTTTCCTACAAAGATAAGGCCTCTTTTCAAGTTTAAAATCGATTACAGGAACTCACTACCCAATAAACAAAGAAGCACTAGCGTACTTGAAACAAAAGCTTTAGGCTCTAACCAATGTTGGAGGTTTGATCAAAACCAGCAGAGCCATGGCAGAAAAACCCAAAGATCTGCTTAGCTGAAAGGAGAGCCACACCCTCCCTGCACCCCACATCGGGAGCCAGTTCTGTTCTGTAACACACAGAGCCACAAGGAGTCAGAATTGTTTCTATAACAAGTGTGGGGTTTGGACAGGGGGGTTGTACTTTTGCACTCAGAAGAAAAATATGCCAGAAAGGAAACAGAGATAAAGGTACAACAATAGTAGTTTAAGCAAAAAAAAAAAAATCACTATTGTTGAAGTGGAGGGTTAATGAAAATGACAAAACCCTCCATGAGACAGGTGGGACAATGCATGCAACAATGGGCACAAAACTACCAAAACCATGAAGGTGGTGCAGGTCCGAGCGGTGCTTCATTCTGCTGCACATAAGGTCACTATGAGTCAGAGAAGACTCAAGAGCACCCAACAAACAAGGAAAAGAAATGGTTTTCTGAGTGATAGGTTGAGGGAGAGTCTCTATGTCATTTCTATGTTCACCTTTCAGAGAGAGAGAGAGACTTACTCAGCAAATGTCATATCTTGTCTTGGACTGGACACGAAAAATTTCCACAGTGCCTCTGAGTCATGTTTCAATGTGTAGAGGGGGAGAAAGATCCCAATTACCAGATCCCCTTCCCTGTAGACACTGGATTGCATGCGATAGAAGCATTCAAGGCTGTTCATGGTGGGTCTGGGAGGTGGAAGCTGCCAGAACACAAACTGAAAGAGCAGAGAGAGCATCCCAGCTTCGACTCACCAGCCTGAGGCAGAGCCCTGAATTCCGGGTGAATGGAGGGAAGACTCGAAGACTGGACAAGTCAGCCTTCTGCAGGGAAAAGCAGCGTCTGTGCCGGGCAAAGATGGGACTCTGCCCCTCAGCCTCTGGAACAAGACAGAGCGGGGCTCAGCGGCAGGGCCGTGCTGGAAGCAAGGAGGAGCTCCAGTTACTTATTGTCTGCCTTCAAACCACTGTGGATCACAGGGGCTCAGGTTGCTCTTTCTATGCAGCCCTTCTGGTCATTTCTGTGGGTAAACCCCCCTGTGGGACCCTTCTTGCCCTGGGGCTCCACACCTGAGATATGACCACTAGGTAAAAACAGTGGTGAAAAACAAGGGCACAGCAGTTCCGCTTAATTAGTCCAGCGTGCCACCTTGAGCACTATGCTCTTTGAAGAATCTCTATGGAATCAAACTAACAACAAAAACTCTTGAGGATTTTGTGATAGGAAACTTGGGGACAGTGAGTTCTTGTTGAATGGAGGAGAATCTTAATGGGAAGTGGGTTAGAATGGTAGCATGACTTCAGGAATATCATCCATCAGGGTACTGGCTTGTATGGGGAGAAGCTGCTGGATTAATGTGTGTTTGTGGTGTCTGTTCTCAACAACAACAAATAAAATCACTAAAAAAAAAAGACATATTTAGGCAGCTTCTTCCATCCTGCCTCCAGGGCAGTGGTTCTAAACCTTCCTAATGCCGTGATCCTTTAATACAGTTCCTTATGTTGTGGTGACTCGCAACCATAAAATTATTTTCATTTCTACTTCATGACTGTAATTTTGCTACTGTTATGAATCGTAATGTAAATATCTGATATGCAGGATGTATTTTCATTGTTACAAATTGAACATAAAGCATAGTGATGAATAACAAAAACAATGTCATTATATATTGTGAAATATTTATTTCTAATTACAAATCAATGAAATTTTGTCTTGAAGCATGGTGTAGCATGGGTCACAGTCTTCACACAGGGTACTCTATGTGGGTGTATCTGCATATGGGCGGACCCACCTGGAGACGGATAGAGGAGCTGTGTCTCCATTCCTAAGACCATCGGAAATATGTGTTTTCCAATGGCCTTAGGCAATCCCTGTGAAGGGGTCGTTAGACCTTCAAAGAGGTCACAACCCACAGGTTGAGAATCACTGCTCCAGGGAATTATGTGAGCAAGTTTCTGGGAACTAATTCAGACTAGTTCTGTGTTCTTCCACCTTGAGTGAACCAGCGTTTCTTGCAATGATGAACTGAGGGCTGTGGCATCAGAAGAGCCTGTGTGACAGTCAGTAAAAGATCCCCTAATGGGATTGTATTCACCATCAAAAAGGATATTTCAAAATATACCTAGAAGTACAATACCATCTGTCATAGGATAATATCCATCTGCATACAAGGAAATCTGGTCACTATTATTCACATGTATGCACCAAACACTAAAGCTAGTAATATAGAAATTAAAGAGCTGTGGGATGACATCAAGTACATAGTACATGAAGAAAACAAAGGGCAATTAAAAACCCAGAAAGATAATTTTCAATGTTCAAACCCTAATACTTGGTTTTATAAAATTTATTGGCAAATGTTGGGAATTGAAATTATTGTAAGGTTGTTGTTTTTTCTCTCATAACCTGTCTCCTAATGTGATTAAGAAGCCTCACTGTCCAGCTCCAAGGGCATCAAAAGATAATTGACACATCTGTCATGAAAGCAACAATGCTACCACCTGATTTAAATAATAAAGAAGGGGGAGATGTAAGGTAACATTGTCCTGTTTCCCCTGGCAGGATTACTGGAGTGCAAACCCTATGAGTAAACCTTGAGTGTGTAACTGTTTGCAAGTTCCAGGAATATGGCACAAACAATGAGTGATAAGGAGATTCCTTGCAGGAGACAAAAAGAACTCCATCAGGTGACAATGTGCTCCTGTACAAGAATGTTTGTTAGTCCTATGAGAATATTTATTAATTATGAATCATGACAACATGATTGTGCTTGAGGTCATTATGCCCTGGTATTGCCCCTGCCTTTAAACTTTTGTAAACTTTCTTCTTTGGTGTGCAATTAAAACAGATGCATGTTGGGCTTGATCTGATTTTCAACATTTCTCTCTCTCTGGTGTGTTTTTTCTTTCATATTGTGGCTTAGCTCAGATGTATTTTGTCATTGGGGGTAACCCTGTTGAATTTTGGGTTATATGTATTTCGGTATATGACACCCAGAATTGATTTAAATTATAGACAGCAAGTAGAATCAATGTTCCTGTAGTGAGAGGTGGAAAGAGGTTCCAGTGGGTGAGAGAGGGAAAGGAGGAGCTGATATCAAGGAGTTCAAGAAGGAAGAGAAGCAGATTGTGTTGGCAATTGTACAATATTGCTCAGTGTGATTGAACTATGGAATGATATGATATCTAGACTAGTTCCCAATAAAATGGTTTAGGAAAAAAGTAATAAAATAAATAATACAAAAAGTACATACATGAACATGGCTGTGTTCCAATTAAATTTTTTTGTGGAT